AGTAGCCCCAAGTTTAAAACAAAGTTCCAGCCTTCATTCTGGTGAAATCCCAACTCCTAAGAAGTTCAGCATCCATGGCATGAGCCCGTATCATTCAAGGGCTGAATCCGCTGTCCAGCCCGCCAGGCAGCACACAATACCTTGCTTATTGCAAGCGATCAGCAGGGCAGGCGCATTTTTGAGCACAGTGCTATCGACCAGGACCTGGTACAGGAACTCTGCCACATCCTTCACTTCCCGCTGAAAGGCCACACTGTCCACCACAAACACGATGGCTCTGGAGGGAAGAGGGAAGAACATGTGCTGGGCCTGAAGCTGTGCAACCATCTTCTTCTGCAAGCACTCCAGCTTGGGCTAACACATTTGTTTCCACAACTGATCTCATCCAACCCAAGCACAGGTTAGGATGCGTTGGCTGAAATACACCCCGCGTTCAGCCCCAGTAAGAAATCTTTCCCTCTCTGCCCCCTAACCCTCCCTGCTGCAGTTACTTTACCTCCTGATGCACCACAAACACAGGCCAGTGGGAAAGCAGAACAACAACTAACCCCTGCTACCCCACGGCAGAGCTCTGGCTCCCAGGGCACCACCGCACAGAGTGAATCCAGCCCAGCTCACAGTATCCCCAGCACCATCATTCGGTTTTATCTCTTTCCAAAACATCACCTGCCCCCTCCTCCAAGTTACCTGGCTGCAGCCTTGAACCTCTCCAAGAACTGAAGCCGCAAACTCTCATGGCCTGGAAGGTCGATTAAGGTCACGTTAGCGCTCTGGGAACAGAAGCGAGAAGGTATTAGCAACACCTAATCCAGGGGTACCTGGGATCATGGACTGGGGAAAACCAGTCTGACAGTAGATTCCAGTTAGCCTGGTGTTGAGGCAGCAGTGGGCAAGTGAATCCCCATCCTGGGCAGAGGCACATAACTCCCTCCGAGGTGCAGGCTCTCCACCAGCCCAAACAATTCTGACAGGTAAAAAAAAGGCTGAGGAATGACATCCGTGGCCAGGACTCAGTAAGCAGGACACCAAGACCAGCAAACCACCCACCAGAGCTGAGAGGACAGGGCATGACCGCAGAGAAAAGACAATGTTCAAGCCACTTCTCATCCACAGTAACCCCACTTCAACTACCCCACGCACAGTGCGAGTGACAAAGCTTCACCGGTCACCTCTCTTGGGACACCAGCAGATTTACACCATCCCCGAGAGCAAGGAGATCTCTGCAGAGCAAAACCACGAGCCCCGTCCCGCAAGTCCCTGTTCCCTGCAGAACACTAATCCTGCAATCTTGGAAGCAAATTATCTATGCACTCACACCATCTACCCAACTGCAAGTCTACCCAAATACACAAAACTTTGCTGGAAATAACATGAAAATGCACTTGCAAGAGACTTTTGAAACTGAAAGCTGCAAACTCGTCCCTTTCCACAGCCAGAGAAAGCAGTGACGTTCAAGAGTACGAACACCTCTCACATGCTCCTGACTGAGATGTGGCCAAGAAGGGCCACGTCACCATTCTCAAGATAACACTCGTTGTTGTTCTTGAGAGGGGAGAGAACACTGCACAGGACCCTACCTACTCACTGTTCTTGGATTTTAATGGAAACCTTGTTTACAATTTAAAAAAAGAAAAGCAATGGTCCATGTCGCAGTATTCCAGTGCCTCTCCCCCTTCAAACACCTCCTTTCTGCTCACTCTTAAAGAAACACAAATATATAAGAAAAAAGCCCTGCACCTCCTCTTACGAAGTTTTTAACCTCTTATGCTCACCACTGTTACTGAAGATTGACACAGAGAAGCCCCCAAAGCATCCTCTTCTTTTACAATGCACCAGCACGTAATGTGATGCCAGCTTGCTGCTGTCACTGCCACGTGTGCACCCAGCAAGAGAAAGAAACTTCTGAAATGAGAGAGATCACCAAAAACTGAAAATAATGAGGTCTGTGGCAGCCCAGGACCTGAAAGCAACCAAACCCTTTTTGAGACCGTATGAAGTTCAGCTGGAGACTCTTTTTAAGCCTGCTGAAGTTTTTAAATTTAGATTTTCTTGGGAGACACTGAAATTACTGCCCAGCAAATAAACCAAACACAACAGAACAATGTTCCCTCACAAATTTCCCTCCTGTTCTGAACCACGTCGCTGTCCCCACAGTGCTGTGCATCTTACTCCACTTGTAAAAGCAGCTCCTTTTCCTTCTCTGCAGAAGAAAACACCACATGCTACCCGCCTTCCAAAACCCAACACACTGATGTCGGTTTTAGTCAAAAAGGTTTCACAATTTGACAAGCAAAGTGAAAAAAAACCTGTGATGATGAGGAGTCCCTAATACCTTCCAGTATTTTCCTACTTTCCCATCGCCTAGAAAAATCCAATCCTACTCTCAGACAAAACTGGGGGCTGATTTCAAGCTGGGAAGACTGAGCAGCACAAAAACCATCAAGCCAGGGTTAGCAAAGGGAGCAGAAAAACAAAGGCACCAGCTGGCTGATGCGACCACACACAAGGTGCAGCGCAACCCTGCCCGCTCACCTTGGCGTTGCTGACTCTGTAAACCGCAGAGCTGTCAGTTATGGAAGTCTGGGTATCGCGGTATTTGCCTGTCAGCAGCTGGGGGGAAAAAAAAAAAAAAAAAAAAGTAATTTTTCAGAAAAAGGAGGCTGGAGGCACACCTGCATCACGTTCCACCACTCGGAAACCAAAGTGATCTGTAAGGGGTAACAGACTCCAGATACCTGAGTTCAGCTGACACACGTGAAACAATTTCAGGTTTTTTTCCCCCCAAAGATTTTTTCAAAAGCCCTCATGACGGCAAAAAAATACCCGTTTACATACTTACCCTCCACGTGGCTCAAAGCAGGATGGCAGCGCGCCTGCAAACCCTCGGAGCCCTGTCCCTCCCCTCGGCAGGAGCGCGGCAGAGTG